TAACAATGTAAAAAGTATATAAAATATAGTGTGGCCGAAGAATTTCCCCAAACCCAGCAGTAACTACCCATTCAGGCGGTAACGACCCTAGGCGACGTTCATCAGCCTGAAAGAAAAAGCAGGACACGAACGATTAAGCTAAACAAAGAAAGGAGCCAGGCCGAGATGGCTATCGACTCCACACCGCACCTGGGCACCCCTCCCTGCAAACCCCAACTGAAGATGCAAACAGGCCGGACAATAAGTGGAAGCCCAGCCGAGATATCTGTCGACTCCACACCGGACTTGGATACTTCACTCTGAGAGCCCAAACCGAAAATGAAATCAAGGAACACTCAGAACTTCTTTACATATGAGGAGACTCTGCCCGGACGTCTATTTGACTCTATTCTCCAACGCCAGGAAATCAATTCATCCAACAATCAAGGACCCTTGGTGAATGGTGCCTGCCTGGAATTTGGCCTCAGGACACAAAATCCCTATAAAAACCCCAGACAGTCTACCCTCCTTCGTGGATTTGGGAACACCTATACCTTTGGGTATAGACCCCTGTCCACCCAGCGCTGCGCTGTTTGTTTTATTGTGGTTTTTCCTCATTGTTTATTTTTATAAAAATTGTTTTATAATAAATTGTTCTTTTATTTAACCCAAATTTGCCTTTGCATTTATAACAATACCTTATTATCCTCTGTTACTGAAAAGAAAATGTTCTGGGGACTTTGTAAAAGTGGTAGTTACAATAGTCCTTGAAAGGTTAGAGGCAGCTAAAAAAAACCCCAACAGTTACAATTGCACTGTTCAGCTCAACTAGGATCAAATCTAACATAGTCTATTATATTTGTTCTTCCCCACCTTCTCCAGACCCACTTCTCCTTTTACATCTGAAGACACATTACAGCCATGATCACTGCAGTTGTGGAACATGGTGTTCCTGGGTGTCACATCAGTCTCTGTGTTCTCAGCCACCTGTAGATCGATGGCAATTTCAAATGCAGGTGCATTTGTAATTCTCACTCTGGTCTATTGAAAAATAAGTAGGAAAGTGCTGGGGGTCACTGCCTCCATTACAATGAATGATGCACTGGCAGTGTTTGCAGACAATTTATGTTCTGTGTAGATAATCTTAGGCAGAATCAATTCTGTTTCATGAAGATCTATATGTTGCAGCAGACATGCCTCTGATCATTCATTTGAGCTAGTCAAAGATCACTTAAAAGAAAAATAGAAAACAAGAAAAAAGGGAGTATCTAGAATGGTAAAGCCTTAATATCATATGAAATAAAAAGCTTGGGTAACAGCTTCTGCTTTTATTTGACATTATTTAAAAAAAAAAAAAGGAGGCAAGTTCTGAATAAAAGATACGATGTCTTGAAATTGTTATAAAATTATACAGTATACTTCATCTGCACTGAAGACAACCTATGGCTTTCTTTGATATGAGTTTGCATAATATTGTATTAATAGAGTTATCTCAGGCAAAAAGACATGTTTGTTTTCCAGTATGAATAAGAAAAATATGAGTAAGAGAGCAAGTCAGATACTCTAATGAGATACAGTATTTATTTGTGATAGGTAGTATAAAACTCTCTCATGCATGATGATTTGTTGTATGATGCAGAAATCACTGAATTCCTTAATAATGGAAATAATTTATTTAAATTGCGTACTTGGAATGTAGTACCAGATTATAGAAATCCTGTCTGCCAAATCAGACTTCAGATAAATTAGTTGCAAGAGTTTTCACGACTACAGTTCTTAGCAAGGAAATGCCAAGTCTATGCTTTCTTGATGTTTAAGATGGTCTTGCAAACAAACAAAATAGGGAATAAAATGCAGTATATTCAACAACTTCAGCTATAGGATTAGTAAATAGTCTTTGGTATGAAGTCGTGAATTATCTGTTTGATTAGCAATTGAGAACCTGAAGCTCTACTATATCTGAAATGACATTAAAAATGCATGTATAGCTTTTAATAGAAAAATTCTAGCTCATTTTCTCACTGTTGAAGAATTTGCATAGAAATCATTCTACTCAACTTAGCAAGTGCATTTGTGATATGCAATCCTGCAAAGCCAAAAGGATTATTTTTTTTTAATGTTCTACATCTCATCTAAGAGAAAATCTAAAAGCAAATACCACATAGATATTTTCATTGTAAGCTAATTTTTTTAAGATTTGTAACCTTTTTTTTTTTTTTTTGTGGTAAGAGGTAATGATGGAATAGCATTTCAGAAAACCAGTAGAAACTATTCCTTGAAAGGCTGTTTCATTAATTTGAACAGGAAAGAGCAAAAAGACATGGTAAATAATTTACTTCCATAAGAATTCAAGTGATAACACTTTAAATAGAGGTTTGAAAACAAATTTATTTCTTGTAAGATATAAAAATTTTGAAAGTTTAGATTTTGTCTCTTTTTTGAAAAAACAAACAAACAAACAAAAAAATAAAAAAATCCCAGACTGAGATTCTTTGCAGAAGGAATACTTCCCTGGGGAAGTACATCTGACTTCATTGTGTACAAATTGCAGGTACAAAGGCTTTGGCAAATGGGTTGCAATGTGGCTGTGAATACCAGAAATACATCGTGGAGCAGTAGCTTTAATAAAAGAGGTTCAAAGGAGCTAGGCTGGTGAAGGCAACGAGGTGAACTTTAATTTAAATCTTGGCTAGTGGCCATGTGTCATAAACCATACGAAAAATGGGTCTCCCATGAAATCCAGCCTACATTTCAGAAGAATGCTGTGAAAACTCTGACAAGAGGTTGACATACTTGAATTAGTAAATGCAAAAGGGGGTAGGGAGGGGAAGGTAAATAATATTTATTCTTCAAAAACTTGTTTTAGAAACTTAAAGTGGCAACTCCTTTTTGTCGATGTGTGTTGCTTTTTTTAAACTTCTGCCATTGTTCTACTTCTGACATCTATGGTAGAGCTGTGTTAAGACTGTAACATTATATTGGCCCATCAAATCCTACAACTGTGTTAGATCATTTGAAATGGGTTGTAGGGTTAAGGCAATCCACCTGGGTTGTGAAACAAATTCTGGATTCCTCCATCCTTCTGTTGCTATTATTTGCCTAAGTTTTATTTCTATCAATAAAAAACTACTCTGAGCTTACAATATTTCTGCAAAACAAGCTTTGGTATTTTGTTTCCTCAAAACTGAGAAAAGAAAAGGAAAAGGAAAAAAAAATATTTTTGCCCTTAAAAATGTTATGATAATCACTTAAAATGTCTTATATGTATGGGTAATTTTGTTAGGCTTTTCCAGCATACCAGGGCCTTTTAAAATTAAATTGCATTGTGATTAAATTTGTGGGAGCTATGTTCAGTGGCAGCTAAAAATATCCAGTAATTTCAGTTGGCCATGAATTAGATCTGCGGAATATGACAAAGATGAGCTGGATTATGTCACATCTCACATCAGCTTGGAAAAATACAGTATTCTTTGTCTTTTCAGTGGATGGAGGCTGGTCTTGTTGGTCATCTTGGTCAAAGTGCTCAGCAACATGTGGAGGAGGGCATTACATGAGAACCCGCTCCTGCACAAACCCAGCCCCAGCATATGGAGGTGATATCTGCCTTGGCCTGCACACTGAAGAAGCACTCTGCAACACACAGCCATGTCCGGGTATCACAAATTGGCCCAAACATCTTTGTTCTTTATGTGCCCCAGAATAAGGCATTCCCAGTTAGGCATCGTGATGTCTTTAATCAATTATTCAGAAGCAAATAATTTCTATACCTTATTAAGTGCACAGTCAGCTCTTAGATGCTACAATGTTACAGTAAAGTACTAGCATAATATGTTCTACAGGACACTACCTCCTTCCTCCCTCTTTAAAAATTAAAATCTAAATTACTATATCTGAATCTGGATTAAGTAAAATTGTGTAAAATTTGAAGTGGACCATGCAAATTCTTTATGAGACCTTTAATAAAAATATCACAAAGAAGTGCTTTTGTTACAACACCAAACATTCACAGCAATAAAATTGCTGAGGATAATATTCAACACATGTTATTACTAGGTCCTCCAGGTAGATAATGTTTGCCCTGTTTTCATATAAAACACAGAGAAAACTTCCATGGTCCTTGTAAAATTCCTTCTTCAACTTTAGAAGTCAAGGAACAAAAACCTGACCTTTTTAAATGACCGTGGAATGCTTAGTAGATGAAATGTCTCCTTCTAGTTGTATGGTGTTATGGATCATGTCTATTTCTGTAACTTTGATTCTGCCTTTTGACTCAGTTTTAAAGAAAACTAATATTTTTTAAATGTATTTTAAGTGAGAAATTGAGATTAAAACCGCATAAACTTTCATTTATTGGTAATTAGTGGATTACAAGCAACAGCAAAAGTAAAGAAGCAGCTCTGATGCCACACTGTATTACTTGCTTCACTTAGAGCTCCTGGACTTCATAGCAAAAGTTTTTTGTTCATATGATGAGGCAGTGCATGTCCCATGAGTTTGAATGGATCATATTACTTGTTACGATTCTTTCCTTTTCTAGGCACTACGTATGTTCCAGCAGAATAAAAGTACCTACTTTGTCAAAATTAAAGCAGATTGGGTTAAAAAAAAAAAAAAGCCAAGCATAGAAATCAGTTGATTATTTGATTTTTTTGAGACAAATTGTGTACATTCCTATGCAGAAGTTGCATAGCTGCCTTGAAATCCTTTTAAGGCATCTTTGAAGTTTCAGAGCTGGGGTATTCATTGTACTGGTATTGTAGCTATTTCTCTTGTTGTGCACTTATATTCTACCACCATTTTCCTATAAATGACAGTTTGCAAACATTCATAAATAATGTCTTCATCTTATTTTGACCTGCCTGTGACCCAAATTTTGGAGCAGATGCAGAACGGAGGTGAAGGCTGGTTTGATTCATCTTGGTTCAAGAAATTCTGTCCTAACTCAGAAAAACAAGCTGTTTCTTTGTCACGCAGCACACTTGAACTCCTTAATCACAGTGTCTGCATGTGTGTCCCTCTCTGCCTGTTGCAGACAGCTGGTCTGAGTGGTCCGAGTGGTCTGACTGTGACTTGTCTGGCTTCCAGACCCGTGCTCGACAGTGCGTCATTTTGTTTCCTGTGGGCAGCCAGTGCACAGGGAACGCCACAGAGAGCCGAGCCTGTGCTGTGGACTCCAACTTTATACAAGGTGGGATCAGCTGGCTCCTTGAAGGATTAGTTTTCAGGTTTCAGGACCAAGGCATAGCACTGTTCCAGACTGCACTGTACAGATCCATGAGCTGAAGAAGAACTTGCCTTTTGTGAGCACAAGGATGTTGGTCTACTATATAGAGACAGTGTTGTTAGATCTGGTGTCTACATAAAAATCTGTCCCATGGCACCCAGTGCTGTGGAGCTGTCCCTGCTGACACTGCCTGAGACTTTGGTTAGTCACTGTCACAGTATTCTGCAGGTCTCTCCCATTCTACTTGGTAGCTGGGGATGAGTACACACAGCAAGCAAAAATTGTTTTTTATTTTAAGTGTTTTTGAGATTTGGATTATTAAAGAAACATTGCTGTAGTTTTTCTGGTTTGCATGTACAAAATGGGTGCTGTGGTTGTTAATCTGGAAATAATTTCAGAGAGTGCCTTACATTAATAACTGCTCAGAAAGGTAAATACTATTAGCTTTGCCTCTAGTCCTTATCTCCCATGACTGCTAAGTACACCATGGACAGTCATGTTATGTATTAGACTATAGTATTTGTTGAAACTCAGGATTGTACTTTTGTTTTTAAATCACAGGAGTCATTTAAATCCACACAACAGTATGGGTGGGTCACAATGCCCTTCTGTTAACAGTTGACTTTCTCCCTGTGTACATTAAAAAAAAACTAGGGCTCTTTTCACAGACAGAAAAATTTATGTTTTAATGTATCATTTAAAATGCAGCTGTTTTTATTCAGCGCAGCAACCTTGGCTTTGTGTGACTATGCAGTAAACTATAGTACAACGTAATAAAGACATTGGCAAAGTTAAACTCTGTTTTTATGGATGGTGCATAATGCTTTAACTCCCAAATAGTATTTTCCTCTAAAACTAACATGAAAAATGTTAGTATGAGAGCAAAAATTCCCACATTATATTTTCCCTTTTCTAAGGCTTTTGAAGCTCTATTAATATTCACATTCTGTGAATCTGCAGCTTAATCCAATATAAGCCCTACATCATGTTTAAGAAGGTAGGAATTTTCAGAATCTCAAACAAGCCACCATGTCTCTTGCCCTTCTGGTCTGTTTGCTACTCCTCCTTATATTACCAGTAACACAGCAGATAGGATCATGCCCATTACACCCACCTTAGGAAATCGAGCTTGCTTTCTTTGGTTCACTTGGCTCGCTTTTACTCATCCAGGTCCTCTAACTCAGGGGTTTCCTCCTTTCAGCTCTTGGCTGAAAAGACTAATGCCTGCAGAAGTGGCAGCCTTCCTCTGTTTTAAGAACTGGACACATAATACTAGCCCATGTCTGTATCTTTTTCCTCACTTCATTTGTTGCTTGGAAAGGGATTATCAAAGAACTCAAAATTCTGCTTTTTTGAAATCCAGGTATACTGTGTCAGCTACCCCAATTGTATACAGGTGATCCTTGACCCTTTCAGAGAGGTTCAAGAGACTGATTTATAAGGCAGAACTTCCCTTAATAGAAACCATGGTCTGGAAGTAAGGAGTGGAAAAGCTCGACTGCCAACAGATTTTATCCTGTATTTTCAAAGTTAAAATTGTAAGGATACAGGCTAGAATTGCATTTTATTAGTTTACAACTGAGACCTATGAAATTGGCAGTCATCTTTTTTTAAGATGTATAAATTACCACTTTTCACATTAGTGCTAGATGTGACTTCAGAAGTAATGAGCACATTTGAACGCAGGGTAATTAAACTGTAGTTAATTTTACTTCAGTAAATAAAGTCTTTCTCCACAAGCCTAAACTCCGCAAAGAATGTTTCTACATCCACTTCATCCATTTCATTCCAGAGATGTTTTGAGGCAAGAATTAAAAATAAATTGCTGCCTTTTCTTGGGAAACCAAAGAACCTGAAGATATCATGGGCCCTTTCTATTAATTCTACCTCATAGTAAAAATATTCTTTACCTTGAATTTGAAGTGGATGTAGTAGAATGAATTTTTAAACCCTTACTGTGTTAATCTAACTAGAAGTTCTCTGCAATATTTTTTTTTCCTTGGCCTAAGTGGTTTATTTATTTTTCTAGAAATACCTGTGGCACAATCCAGCAGCATAGAAAAGAAACGATGTGGCGGTAAGCTTTTCAGCTTGAGATGGCTATTAAATGCTGAAATATTGATTCTCCATTTTTTTCTTTTATTTCACCTTTTATAATATATATTTTATAATATAAATATAAGATATATTACATAAATAACATATATTTAATAATACCTTAGTATTATTCTACCTTCTAAATGCTGCATTCTCATTATTTACACTTGTACAGAAAAAAGTAGTAACTTGTACAGAAAAATGTAGTTAGTACAAGGATACAGGATCTCTCATTAAATATCCATCTGTTTGGTGACCTTTGAGAGAAGAACATGCATTATTGGATGTTTGTATTTTCTTCTTTGTCAGTGTGGCAGCCACCCTTGTACTCAAAAAGAAATACCTATAATAATCTAGTTATCAGAAGGTCAAAATTTGTAAATTTGTTACTCCGCCATTTTCAGGATATTAAGTCCACAAACCTCTTTTAGACTGACAATAAACAGCAGACAACCAGCCTGCTAACAAATTTAATAGCCCAGACTCTATCTGGGACTCATTTTCAACTTTATTGCCAGAGATAAAACTAAAAAGTAAATAAAACATTCCATTCTGGAGAGTCGTGATGATCTTGAAAGGAAAAACTTTTAAAACCACATCACAATAGGAAGAAGGAAAATGAACTTTTTTTTTTTTTAATGTGCTGAGCTATCACGCTTAGTCTGTGTCATCATGGTAATAGCTCTTGCCAGTTCTAGTATTCCATGCACAGATAAGCTGCATTTTTAACCTAATAAAGGACAGTGAATATACAGAGGTTATACAAGAGTACTTGTGTAAATAGTAACTTGTTATGGGAGCCAAGATAATGTAATTTGATTTTTTTGCTAACTAACAGTGATACTCTGAAAGCATTTTGCCAAGTTCTACAGCATTGGGAAACACTCATAAAGGTGTAGAAGGATATTTTAGTGATAGATTGGTATATAGATACCGTCAGCTGAATCACCTTAATATTAGTTTGTGTTTCTAAGTACTCAGTAGGCATATAAAGGTCCTGCTTTAGGTTTTACAAAAAATGAGACACATGTACTGGCCTATTTTTTTGTACTACAGTGAAAAATGTTTAAGAGATGTTTTTAAGACTAGCACCAGTATATCAGTTTAAAATCCTTTATTTTTACATTTAAACAACAACAAACAAATTTTCAATCATGCTAAGATTAAATTTCCAACATGAGTTTCTCAGTGATACTTCTTCCCTAAAGTAAATCAGAAAGCACAGCTCCATTTCAAAATAACAATGGAAAGCAGTGCAACTTGTCTATTTTGAGCTAATCCTACTGGTGCCATATTTGATCTGGTATCTCTGTTCAGTAACATAAGGGAATGATTGTGCTTCAGGTTCCCTCCCTCAGTTTTAATCCTTGTGTAGATAGAGAGGGTTTCCCATGGTCTGATGCCATTGTACCTTTGAAGAGCAGAGCTGATAGAAGGGTGCTGGGCTCTGAGTTGTTGATTTTGCACTCTCTGGCTGCCATGCTTAAAGGTGTATTGAGATTCAAGAAGTCCATTTCTTGCCACTTCCCATTTCCCTTTACAATGCTGGCATTTCTTCCTCACTCCCACTTAAATAAAGAAAAAATTCCAAGAGCTGGAGAAGAGAACAAACTGGCCAAGATACAAAAAGAATGGTAATCATCAAGAATCAAAGCAGGGATGGAAAAACATTTGCTGATGCTTCTAATAAAAGGGATATGGAATGCATTTATGGAAAGCAGGAATGGGCTTAAAAAGGATTTTATCAGTTCTGCCACAAGTCACTATGTGTAAGAGAAAGAACTGTAATAGCGGCAGAGGAGGTGGTACTGTAGTTCACTGAAAGAAAAAAACTATTTATGTACACTATATACATAATTTATATATAACAAGTCTGTGTTATACCGTCTGAAAAAAATAACCTGATGAACTATTCAAACATATGGAATTAAATTCATATTTCTTTTGTGTTCTGAACTTTTGATGTTTAAGCATCTTTCAATGATCTCTACTTAACAGGGATGTATGGGTATCTAAGATTCTTATAATGGTCCCTTCAGGGAGGTAAAATGAATTTACTACTCTAGGGATGAACCATTGTAATTGAGATGTTTCAGGGAAGCGCATGAAAATTCCCTTATGAAACACTTGTCTACGTTTTTCCCCAAGCTGAAGCTTTTACTGCTACTGCCTTTAAATTAAGGTTGCCTTCTTCTCTCTGCTCTGTAGAGTTCAACATGTTCCACATGATCACAGTGGGATTAAGTAGCTCAATTCTTGGTTGCCTTCTCACCCTGCTTGTTTACACATACTGCCAGCGATACCAGCAGCAGTCCCACGATGCGACTGTCATCCACCCAGTGTCACCAGCTCCACTCAACACCAGCATCACCAACCACATTAACAAACTGGACAAATACGACTCTGTAGAAGCCATCAAGGTGAGCAGAGGGCTTTTCCATAGTGGCATTTGAGCTCAATTTATGCTGATTGTTAATGACAAAAGTAGATTGATTTCACTTGAGGTGTTGTAATTGCAGATCCTTTCACTTGTCAACCTCTGTTAAGCAGGAAGTTGGGTTTTGCATTTGTGTGTAATTTATACAGCAGGTTTTCCTGGAAAAAAAGAAAATCATTCAAGTAGTTTTGTGGGATTTTTTTCCTACTTGTGCTCCGTAGAGGCTTGTTCAAGAAGTAAATCGGGGCATTCACCATGACATATGCTCAAGAAAGTCCTTTGGCTTTATGATCCAATGTCAAGGGCACTGTTCATCTCCCTGCACTACGTCTCTATATGGGAGATGTATCTGGTGAATATATTCTGGGTCAGATTCTCAGTTAGTGTTTATAGCCAAACTACTCTGTGAAAAAGCAGTACAGATAAACTGAGAATCTCTAATGATATCCATACTATTTCATAATTTTTTTTCCAAATTGCTGTTTCCTTTTTGTGATATTTTAAAATAACTCTGCTTTTCAGATCCACTGAATTAAGAAAGGATGTGCATTCTGAAAATACCTAGTTCGGTATCTTCAGATTACAAAGTTTATTCATGCAGCTGCAAAGCTTTTTTGCAAATGAAGATTTTTCTTAAATCCTACCTGGATAATCCAGTTCTTAATTTCTGAATTTTTATTTCTAATTCAAGAAATTTTAATGCAAATCATTAAAAACAGCAAGAAAACTCTGGATCTTCTAGTCAGCAGTGGAATATGAACCTAATTTATAGCTTTTTAGAATGCCACATCATCTCTCTACATAGCTACAGAAATAACAACAACAAAAAATAATCCTTTAAAAGTTCATATTCTAAATACCAATATTATTTTTTTAAAAAACAGGATTTATTCTCTTAAGGCCTTCAGACATTTCTGCCACTTGAAAATCAGGGAATTAAACAGTAAAGAGAAAATAATACTTATTCACTAAAAATATAATAAGTCACTAATTCTAATAGGAAGAACTGCATGTATATGATTATAAATATTCCTAGAATTATAAAATTAGTTTTGTAATATTGGGGGGGAAATCACTGGCTTTTTAAAGTAGAATTGCATTCTGTAGGAATGTTATTACACAAGAAGATACTTCTTGCAGATGCAAGTTTCTCTAAATGTACAGGTATTTCTCAATGCATTTTTGATTGGCTTACTCTACACAGATATTTGCCACAAAAGCTGCTTTGGTGAAAGAGCACTTAGTGGTTACCTTCCCTATGTCCTTTTCATTTTCTGATTTCTTTTTTTTTCTTTTTCTTCCCAGGCATTTAACAAAAACAACCTGATTCTAGAGGAGAGAAACAAATACTTCAATCCACATCTTACTGCAAAGACTTATTCTAATACCTATTTTACAGATTTCAATAATTATGATGAGTTCTAATGGGCTTGTGTATTTTCTTGCCTCCTGTAATTCCCCAGTCTCCAAGGCCTATGCTATTCAAGTGCTCATGTGATTGAGGCTTCAGAAATTAAGTTCAGAGACATTTCAAGCATGATCCAAGCCATCAATGTCCCATTGCTACCAAAAGCCTAAACCACCTGTTTTTGACATGACGTTTTCTTTCCATAATACAAGGTTGGCCTTCAGTGTCAGGGGCAGCTGTAGCCCGTCACTGTTGCTGGACCACTCATGAGGATTGCATTGCTATGCTCAGTTTCATAAGTTTCCACTCATATTTCTCTAACAAGTAACTAAGTAATTCTGGAGTTTAAAAAAGAACAAATCTAATTTTCTTTTTAGGCATTGTCTGTTATTTCCTTGGGGTTTAAAAAGGGGGTCTTGCTGTCAGCCCTTTCCTGAAGCTCACCCTGTCAAAAAGAGCTCACAAGGTGCTGGGGATGACAAGAAGAAATGTTGTGGTTTAGTGATCCTCTGCAGCAATTCTGGGATCTGTGATCTTCCTAGGCTGTGAATCACTCTGACTGAAGTTCAGCTGACCAGAGTGCAGAGAAGTAGTAAGGCTGTACTGAGGGATACAATCTTGTAATTAACCCAGACACCTCCAGGGTTAGTGGTTTCCAGTTTGCAAGAACAGCCCAGTCACATAATGCTTTCACCTTGCTCAGTTTAATTTTTGCAAGGGTGTGGAAGGGCATGTCCAACAGGGAGGCCAAGGGAGGAGGGCAGATAGGAGAAGCACACTGGGAGGTTTTTCTCTGTGTCTTTAATAACCTAGCCTTGCTGCAGCATGTGGGTTTGTAGTGGCACTTCTACCTAGTGCAAGCCCATGGGACAGACTTGTCTCTGATGGCTGTGGCACTTGACACCAGTCTGGCCAGAGAACAGTACAACTGCACCATGGATTGTGTGCCATCTCTGGCTCTTGGGGGTGTGTAGGCATAATCATAGATCTACTTTTTTCTTTCCAGCTTTTACTTTATATGCACAGGTCTGACAAGCAAAGCTGGCTCAGAGAATATAGATACATTTTCAAAGGGCTGTCTCATTTTGCTGCCATGTCTGACCTGCATCAGTCAACCCCTGGAGGAACATTCTTATGGCATTTCAAGTGATGATCTTGTTGGACTTCATTGATGTAAATATTTAAAATACTATTTGAGTTTTAAGTCATCAGTTTTATTTCCTTTTGTAGTGGTAGATGAGGAAACACAAAGTCTTATACCATTTTTCTTTGTCCTGTCCATTTTCACCCACATTCATGACATTTTTATTTTTGTATCTGAAATTCTGTATGTGTAACTAAAAAGAAAATTGCAGGGATTTGAGTGAGATTTTACAGAGTATATAGTAGCAAGGAAGCATTTGCTATTCTCAGAAGCTTGTGAGAAGAAATTAAAAGTTAATATTAAAGATTAAAGAACTGGGCTTTCATTTTCTTGCTAAAAGCAAAGACCATTGCACTAGAGTACTAGGGAGATGTGCAAGGAGAAGCAGAGTAGAAATGATACATTTCTATGTATCATTTGGTATAAGTGATACATCAAATGTACATTCTGTTTAGAGCCCTTGCTAATTAGGTTTTGTTATGAAAGACAAAAAGAGAAAAATATGTACGGATTATTCACAACTATGTATAAAAAATTCAAAAAGTACCAATAAACACTTCCATAGCAATGGTAAATACTGTATCTACTCATGGCAGTGAGCTACATGTTTGAATGGGGATAGATCTGAATGTAGCACTATGCTTCCAATCTGTTCTACAGAAAAATAAAAAATTTCAAAGTGGTCTTTAAAATGCTATGCAGTAAGATGAAGACACATTTGCTATCTATTAAAGTAATTAAGATCAGCCACACATTTTTTTTCCAGATGAACAGTCCTCCCTATTACTAACTCAGTCAAATGAAAGCCCCTCATCTTCACACCAACTCTTCTCCAGAAAGTATAATAATGCTGGGACTCTATAATTTGTGATTTTTCACTTCACGTTAGATTTGGTTTTCCAGGAATAAATTAGCTGATTGCTCTGGGTAAGAGAAAATTTTCTTTGCTAGAAATAGAGGGGAAAAAAGCTTTCCAAATCATAACCAGGATGGTATTTGAATTACTGTGTTCATGGCAGAAGATAAATTTTATATTTAAATAAGGTAAAACCTATATTGTTGCTACTGCCAAGAAAAAGCAGCACACATACATACATACATATGAGCAGCATTGTTCCTTTCTGCCCCTGTACTGAGTACATTAGTCCAACTTCTCAATTTTATATTTAGACTAATTGTTTTGAGACCAATATCTTTAAAATATTTGAACTATGTATTTTTATTTTACGCCTTTCAATTACAATTACTGAAATGATCTTTTCTTCCTAACTCTTAAGTGGTTTGGGGTGCACCTATCTTTATAGTGATCTATTTTTAATTCTTTTCATGCACAAATACATATACTAGATACATGTTATATGTGTAGTAATAATACCCTTGGTTAACTCTGCATGATCATAGGTAGAAATCCATTTAGCAGATGCTCAGTCTGCTCACACTTCCCTCTCCTTAGAGGTTTGTTTCAGGTGTTCCAGGTCTTTGAGCAGCTCTCATGCCAGCATGTCAGGAAAGAGTTTCTTTTAATTATTTTTCTTTGTCATTTAGCTTCCTAAATTAATTGTTCTATATCACAGGTAGAAAAATATTTAAAACTCTACCTGAAGCAGCAGGGTAAACATGGAAATTTCACAGCACTTAAATGAGAAAAATTTGATGGCAAGATCTTGTCATGCTAGGTTGTGAGACAACAGGTTTTAAAGCCTTTAGATATTTGTGTCTTAGGTAATTTTAAAGGATCCCAGATGCACTGGGATGTATATCATTATTTACACATGTTGTAAGTATTTTCACCTTCTGAATTCTATATAGCTGCCCAGGTAGTTTGGTACAGCTTTTCCTAGTACATGGAGCAAGGCAAAGTGCTGTCTCTATTAATTTTCAACTTACTTTGTTTAGCAATTTTTCTACAATAGGCTACGAAGCTGAAAAGGCAGATTTCATAGAATTGTTTAGGGTGGAAGATGTCTGAGTCAAACAATTAACTTGGCACTGCCAAGTCCCCTATTAAACTATGTCTATTTCTTCTTGAAAGTTCTTATTCTTCTTTCTGTCAAAAAATGTAACAAGTGGGCATTTCCTGCAAACCCTGTTTAAGCCTGTAGTTCTCAAATTTTCTCAAGGTAGGATTTGGTTATAAAAGCATTATTATACTGTTTGAAAGGGAAAATCAAGTCCCTTGCTCATCAAATGCCATACTTAAATAACCTTCATCCTTTCTTTTGGATAAAGTGATCTATTTTGGATAAATAATTATATTACCTCTGATGCCATTAGTTAATATTGCTAACCATGTTTACACTGATTGCATAAATTTAAAAATGCTTCTCTATTTTGAATGCAAACAATTTGGAGGATAAATGAAAATTAGTAGAGCTGTTGCCATGTAGCCCTGTTGCATGGAGGAAGGAGGAAGCAAGACTGACAGTCATATCCTGCACGGTATATGCACTCATTGGCCAACTCCACTATGCCTAAGAACTTTTTGTGCTTATTTTTTATGTCTGAATCATAGCATATGTACCTCAGTTGCTTAGAAAATGGACTCCTGTGTTTGCAGATATATCTTGGATGTTGATTTGAGCCTGATGATCTTTATGGCCTTTTTAGGTTACTCTGTGTAGAAGCCTTTCCAGCCATTTGCAGTCACCTGATGTTGAAGCAGTGTGGTTTGGCTAAAACTAATCTAGAGAGATTTTTTTACTAGGATTGGGAATTTTATAAGAGGGTGGAAAAAATAATGGGTCTTAAATGGCTTTGATTTCCAGCCTATTAAACAGTACTGATTAAAGTCTCACATGGATATAGGAGACTGTGCATTTAGTTAGCTCTGAGATCCACACCAGAGTCTGGGAAAATACCACACCAGCATACAAATCAAGAGCACTTATGTTAGTGAAGAAATTTCTCAGAGCATCAGGCCATATGGCTGTTCAAACCAGAAAAGAATGTAAGAGGTCCCAGATATAAGTAAAATGTTAACAGGATTAAATGCTCAGTATTTTTTTCCTCATAATTATAGTATGAATGTATTCACTTCTTTAAATGTGGGACCAGTTTTAATAAAATCAGCACAACATGAGCACATTCCTAATGTTGATTGAATGCTTGCTGTATGAGATCAGTTCTGTAAACAGTTTGGTCCAAGCTTATCTTGCTCTGCTTGAGGCATCTGGCCAATTTTAATTGTAGCTGCCACCAGCATCGTCTATGTCTCATCTAGGAAAACATACTTAGACTGAGTTACATCCTGATGTGGACTTGTGTCTCTCCACCAACACTGCAGTGAGCCTAGAGAGATATACTTCTAATTTTCAGTGTCATTTCCATGGCATAAGCTAGGCTCTTGAGTATCATTTTAGCCATCACATAAGTAACCACACCAAGCTCAATGGTATAGATGTAGCAAGTTACTTATTTTAGTGTGTTTACAGAATTGAGCCAAAAATGTATTGCTTCTGCACAAATCCATGCACAGTACAAGATGACTTCAATAGTAAAAAAACAGATTCATTAAAATTTGTTCAAAAGTGAATCTGCATCTTGATATCAGGGAATAATTACGTGTTCGTTGTGTGGGGTATTTTAATTAATTCCTTTCTTTGCTAAATAAATGAATGATAAAACAAGATACTGCTTGACTTAATTTAAAAGCTGTTCTTCCAAATAAAGAAGGATTATGGGATCTATGGACATTTTCCCTTTTTTCTGTCTACTCTTCTCCACAAAAATAAACCTGTGTGTGGCTGAAATAGCCTTTAGCTAGACTGTTCTGTGTCACTAAATGAATACTTTACATTGTGTTGCCATGCAATGACATTCTCTAACTGGGAAGGTATAAAGAGGGAAATATGCAAACCTGGGAGGTTTGGCAAAAATTTCAGTTCCAGCAGAAGCAAGGGTAGGCAGAAGTGAAAACAAAAACATAGACGAATGTGACTGGAGGCTTGGCAAACTTGTCAATAGTGTCAAAGGAATGCAAAGGCTGTTTGGGAACAGCCAAGGCTGTGAGGCTATGCAGACTTTAAGCTCCTGGATAATCAAGCCAACTAGTAACTCAAGAAAAAGCAGCCTGATTGCAACAGTTATTTGTGCAAAGTTGCAATTGTTAGTCAGAATGGGGTGAGAAATTAACTGGTGACACTGTCAGCACCAGGTTAACCAGAG